AAAGGATTTTTGTACTTGTGTACAAAAACAAAGCGGATGTGTGTAGCAGAGAAATACCATTACAATTAAGCATTGAAACTATACCTAGAGTTACACTTAAACATGGAAAGAAAAAGCACAAGTAGTAGTTATTCACCAGTACAGTCTGTCAGAGAGAATCAAATAGAACCATCCGTCCCCTATTGCTGGGAAGGAGCATCGCCAAGTTATCTGTAAGGATAGTAAGCCCACAGTTTATTGCTGAGCTCTGCCTTTTTAATTTGGCACAAATGTTCAATAAAGGTTAATCTCTCACTCATCCAAGATGAAAAGAAACTTTTTTCATTCTCTCTGAAGTAAAAGCACAAAGGATGCAGCAGGAAAGTTTCCACTTTTCTATTTTTATTAACAGTTTCTGTAATCAGTAAGGTCTTAAGTCAGACCAACTTCTTAATTTAAAAATATATTTTCAAATATTTTATATTTTTACTGAAACAGCAGGATGCTGATCTGAGATAAAGTCAAGGATTTTTCAAAATTCTACTTAAACAGCTAGATTGCTTAGAAGACTTAGAGCAGGGATCAATATATTCTCTTGAATCACTGCCATAAACATGGCTACAAATGGCCCAGCCTCACAAGAGCATTTCTGCGTCACAAACAAACCTGATATTCAAGAGCTATAGCAGGAACAAAGAACAGGGCATGACAAAACCAAGAGCCTGAGGACCACACCCAAGTAGATCATCTAAACTTGGTTTTACCAAAACACATGCAGTACACGAGTACAGTTTTAGCAACAATTACGCATTTAGGTCTTTCAAAACAATCATATAAAACTTTATGGTTTGAGTTCTCCCTCCCTCTCAAGAACTCCGAGAGCACCTTGACAATTATTCACGAGTAAGACATGACAAGTGCTGCTCTTCCTGCACAGAAGTGGTTCTCTACCAATAGCAACAACAAACCCCAGGCTTCAGGCTCTGCCTAGACTCAAGTTAACCCTGTGACTAAGGAACGTGTGAATCAAGCAAACCACGGCCAGGTTAGATCAAAAGAGCTCACTAAATCCCCTAAAGGTCAATGTTTGACATGGGAGCCTCCCACCGAATGTTCTTATTTTCCTTGAGGGCTTGGTCACTCCAAGACTACTTTAAATCGAAGCAAGTCTTAACTGTATATAAAAATGAGTTTAGAACATCAGATATTTTACAGAGTATTTCTTTTGGCACTGCTTATCACCACAGCAGTCCAGACAGAGAAAACTACTCCCAACAAACAGATTTCTAGAGTTCTGAACTATATTTTTATCCATATTCATTATTCATCCTGATTTAACTGCTATCAAGTAATAAAATTGTTTGCTACGTACGGTGTTGCTCAGGTGGTTATCAGGGAAGTTTTCTGTCAGCTGCCCATGCTGAAATTGGGGTAAATGTGCAGACAGTTCTGTCATTGGGGCCGTCCTCTGGAAACCACTTATTTCTACACAAAATGGATCTTTCTTCTTGAGACGCTGAAAGGAAAAATATGTGTAAAAAGCCTTTGTTCTTATATGACCAAGTTCTCCACTCCCTCCCTACCCTGATTTTTAAAGTTGACACAAACCAAAGATAAATTATTTTTTATCTACACCATGATACCGAACTGTATCATATCTTTACTAAGAGCTCATAATAGGGATTTTCCAGCATAAAAATAAGAGCATCTACACGTTATCAGATGAGTTCATCAGCCACGGAAGTAAGCCAGTAACAAACTAACCATCCGAAACAGTTCTCCATTCCTTCTTGTGCAATAAATGAGAAGCACTGCACACCTTCTCAGAGTACAGCTTGTGCGTTTTTATCTCAGCAAAGGACAAGTGCTCCAAGTTGTTGGGGTTTGGATTGCTGATAAGCTCACGGGGAATCTTCAAGCAGGATGACTGAGTTATACTTGATTATTTAAAATCTGGATATATCTTTAATATTGTAATGCCCTAGAACTACACAAAACAGTATTTCGGCTGAGCTTCAAGAACTAATGTACATTCATTTCCTCTAGTGATAGGTTTTATGTATCAGCTAAATATACATAAACATGCCACATGCTTGTAACAGCTTATACATGCTTCCCTAAAAAAGTCACATGTTAATGTTTTCCTATGCAAACACGAATAAATGATGTACTCCGTAACAAAGGAAGATAAAGCAATATAGGGGAAAGAGGAAGAAGGGTGACACAACTATGTAAGTTTCAGAAAAAAAAACATAATTTTAAGAAACAATGAGTAGGCCTAGATAAATCACTGGCTTAGTTACACAAAACACAGGTAATTGAATGAACCACTGCCTCAAGGATGGGGTGTCAGGTCTCATTTCCATCCCAAGTGGCATCTCTAGCACTTGTCAGTTCTCTTTAGATTTTACTCACTAAAATGGAAGCAAGCCAATCCAGGAAAAGAAAACAACATTATTTTTCTGCTGTTTTAGTACAATCAATTAAAGCATGGAGGGATCTTGAAAAAAAAGTACAAATGAGGACATCACAAAGCAAGGCCTCTCACTTTTGGCAGCAGCAAGCCAGAAGTCCCGGAAGACGGCAACTTACTTAAAGAAGAAGTTAAGACTGTTTTCATACCTACTGAGAGGCAGAAGCTGTTTCTCTACTTATAAATAAATATATATATATATCTTACAAGACTAGTGCATAGTGCTTACTAACTTCAGCAGGGATGCAGCTTACACTAAAGAGCTATTAAGAGGCAACGCCAATTAAACAAGTCTAGTGGGAGCACGCAAACTGCTTGGAAAAAGAAAGACAACGTAGTATTCACCAGAATGGCTCTCTTCCACATTTGTAATTAAAAACAAAGCACATCTAATTCAAAATATAATTAAATGTAAGATTAGATGAAAATAAATAGGCATTACATTGCATTTACTTTTAAAGTTTTTGCTATAATTTGGTTGGGCTACAGAATACAAACACTGTTGTTTTAAGGCTGCTGTTGGTAAATGTTCTCAGTGATAGGGCCATCACAGAGAAAAACGTTGAGTATTTTTATCCAAACGTGGAGTATCAGAATGAGATTTTCTCATAGCAGCATATCACAATTCTAATTATATTAAAGGAGGAAAAAAAAAAAACACCAAAACACCAGTCCACAAAATCCTATTTAAAGACTGGTAAAGAAAACCACCACAAACTCACCAAACAAAAAAACAGCTACTGAGAAGCAGATAGAAACTGAGGACATGGAGGAGTAACTGAGAGAAGAGTTGCATCAAAGCTTGAATGACCGTGTCCAACAGGCCTCAAAGCTCACGGTTTGTCAAAACAATCCCTTTTGAAAACTCAAGGAATCAGAAAATGGATTCAGGATATCTTTCCAAACAACTTTATTTTCTATTTTTAAATAAATGAACGCTCCTAAGTTTGAAACTTAACTAGAATGAATGAAATCTAGAAATGAACCATGCCTAAACAGACACAAATTGAATTTTTACTTGTTTAACTTGAAAAGGGACTCACCAAAACATTTTCTCTAACGAAGCTGTTAATATTAAAATAGCCTGTCTAAAGTAGTTCTTCCTTGCTTCCTTTGGCTTTCTTTACTGAGAACAACAGGCGTTACAACTGTAATTTTCACGCGTCCGCGTTCAGCAGAGGTAAAGTACACGCAGGCTTCGCTACGTTTGCTCAACTCCGGAGAGAAAGGACAG